GCAAATTCCAGCGGGGGGATTATGGGTCTCACCTCCCTCCTCTCCTCCCCCACCACAGGGTGACCAAACTTAAAGTGCTGATGGACCTGGTAGCGTTCATGAGGAACGCAGCGCGCCGCGTCTAATGTGGAGGTCGATGAGCGACACTAGTAGCGCCAGGGGAGGGGCCTGCATTATATATGTGCTATATAGGACCCATAGGTCTATAATACACACAGGGTGGGGCGGTCCACCTGTAGTTACAATACACACAGAGGGCAGGGTGGGGCGCTTGGCCTGTAGTCACCTCAGGGGGGTTATCAGTCGTTTCTCTCTAATGATTAACTTCACCTGAGAATTCCTGACTCCCGGCACGTCCGCACCGGGCTCTGAGCCAATGACAGCGCAGGACACACAGAACGCACATCAGGGGTGAGGACATGCCAGCTCCCAGGTAAAAACCGCCCTGGACGCACAACTCGGGCTCCAGATAAGTTGCCTCTTGAAACTGGTGAAAGGCACCCATTTCACTGACAGTTTAGATCAAAGCCGGGCAACTCCGGCCGTGGAGGAACTACAAGTCCCATGAGGCATAGCAACACTGACAGTTACAGGCATGACTCCCAGAAACCGAGGCATGATGGGATTTGTAGTTAAAGCACAGCTGGAGGCCGCTTCCCATGCAAGGCAGACCGGTAAGAAGGAGGCGGGACCCCGCGGCGGCAGGCACGGATCAAGGGAGGATTTGGCAGCAGTTTTCAGGGACAACTTGCACGTCGCTTGTTTTATAGCCAGTGCGACTCGTGTTGAATTTGATGGTCAGTTCTCGGGCTCCATGCGGGCCTGCTGGGTCATGTAGTACATCTGCTTCTGGACCCCCTCCCCCCATCTATCCACTAATGCTGGACAATGGCCCCACCCTAGTTGGCCTCCCTGGCGCTGCACGCCGCCGGTCACATGATCTCCAATTAGCGCCATCGCTGCAATGATTTCCCGGACAGCCGATCCGCTTTCACCTGTTAAATCCCCGGCAGCCAATTAGAGGGCGACAACCCCCCCGGGACGGCCGCGGCTCGCAGCGACGCGCTTTGAAATACGATACGAGCTGCCCTTTAAAAAGCCGCGTCGGGATTAGGAGGGATTTCTGGAGTTCAGAGACGGAAGAGATTAGAAGATTCCCAGCGGAGCGCCGCCGCCAGGGGGACCGTGCGTCCATAAAACGCCAGAGGGGGGCGTGCATCCATAACCGCCAGAGGGGGTCTGCGCGTCCACAGACTGCGCATCGCGACTAAAGAGCATATATATATATATATATATAAACACACAGTGGCCTGGGTCGCTATGGGTTCGAACGCACCGCTGTTCAGATCACCGTGATCTGTGCAGCGCTGCGTTCTTCTCCATTGCCGCTGCTGAGTCAATGAGTCAGC